GTAAATTCTAGCTCTTTGGGAGGCTGAGGCAGGTGGATCACCTGAGGTTAGGAATTCAAGACCAGCCTGGCCAACACGGCGAAACCCCATCTGTACTAAAAATACAAAAACTAGCTGGGCGTGGTGGTGGGCACCTGTAATCCCAGCTACTGGGAAGGCTGAGGCAGGAGAATTGGGAATCCAGGGGCCAGAGTTTGCAGTGAGCCAAGATTGTGCCACTTCACTCCAGCCTGGGTAAAAGAGCAATACTCCATCTCATAGAATAAAATAAAATAGTTACTTAGCCAGGTGCAGTAGTGCGTGCCTGTAGTCTCAGCTACTCAGGAGGCTGAGGCAGTGAAGTGAGCCGTGATCACCACTGCACTCTAGTCTGGGTGACAGAGCAAGGCTGTCTCAGAAAAGAAAAGTAGACATTCCTTAAGTTAACTGATTTTCAAAAGGTAGGACACCATGTTGCTTTGTAAAGACAAAGAAAATAATACCATTAATAAAAGAGACTCAGAAAAAAGAAAAAGAGACCCAGGAGAAACTCAATAGCTCACAATGAAGAATGCTGTTTCAGACTAAATAAAAAATAGTTCTTTTCTAACTCGTGGGAGTTTGCATGGAGGCTGCTGTAGAGAAAGGTGCTTGTGAGAAGGTACTTTTTACAATAACGTTATACAAACGTTCCAGTGATTGAGTCTTTCCTGCAGCATTCAATCTTCCCAAAGGTTCTCTGAGCTGAGTATTATTACCCTCACTTACAAATGAGAAACTAAGCCTAAGGGAGGTTAACTACATTACCCCAGGTTACATTTGGTAAGTGGTGGGGCTGAAATTTGAAATCAGACTGTTCTGATCTCACACCATCACATGCACTGGCCCAAGTAATTTTATGAGACTCCTGGTTGAAGGCCAAGTATTCACCTTTGCATTGGATCCAACAGACAACTTCAAAGGCCAACTCCAGTAAAATGCTGAGGGGCAAGACAGCCTGGTTTACTCTTTCCCAGATTCTCTCAATTACAAATCCACTAGCAGCCTGGCATGGTGACTCAGGCCTGTAATCCCAGCACTTTGGGAGGCCGAGGCCGGTGGATCGCCTGAGGTCAGGAGTTTGAGACCAACCTGGCCAACATGGTGAAACCCCATCTCTACTAAAAATACAAAAATTAACTGGGTGTGGTGGCAGGTGCCTGTAATCCCAGCTACTCGGGAAGCTGAGGCAAGAGAATCGCTTGAATCCTGCGGGAAGAGGTTGCAGTGAGCGGAGATGGTGCCACTGCACTCCAGCCTAGGCGACAAGAACAAAACTCCCTCTAAAATAATAATAATAATACCACTAACAAGTGGAATTATTTCAAAAGCACACCCTTGTTTCCTGAGTGATCTGCGCTCAGGAACTCTGCCTGGGTATCTAGAGAGGAGAAAGTATCTACAGTGTGGGGAGATCTGAGGCAGAATTACAGAGCACAGCGCTGAGGCTATTTTCCTGGATTTAGACCGTTTCCTCCTCCATTTGCCTTTATTTCCTTACAACCTCTTTTTCATCGGCTCCATTTTTGCTGAGTATTCCTTTGCTTTATTCCCAACGAAAATCGAAGAGACTTGGTGTTCTGAAAAATTCTGAGACTGGCAGTTTTGATTTTTCTTAAAGGGATAAAAATTGCATCAGTCAACACCTCTCTCCACACACATCCTCATCTTCCTGGAAGACGATACAGTATCCTAGAGCGTCGCGGAGGGGATAAAGCGGTCAAGGAAGCCCTGGCTGTGCAGAGGCACCTGTCAAGTTCGGGTTACCAGCTGCCGCCAGTGTCTGCCCTAGGCAGCCCGGGGAAATAGTGCCCACACGGTGAGACTCCACCGATCCGGAACTGGAGAGAGTGGGGGGTTCCAAGGTTTAGTGTGACACAAATGTCAGGGCAGAACTTTCAAACAGGCTGAGTCTCAGTTCAACGTGGGTGAGTGCGCCAGAGAGGCCAGCTCTGGGAATTGAGCAGACTGAAAACGTGGAGAGTGGTTTAGCCAATGAAAAACTGTCACCGTGATCGGATCGATGCTTTGAACCCGGTTTTAAGTGCCCCACGCCCGCTTGGGTCAGGCTCCGGACATATCGGTGGGCTGAGGTTCTCGCGGGCACGACCCCCACACTGAGTTTTCAGGGAGACGACCAGCGCCGTCGAGGCGGGGAAGGGAACGGACTAGAGGCTGAACTTAGGCTTCTTGCTCTGAAAGATCACTCCGGTTCCGGGGCAGAGACTCAGACCAGCCTGCGGGACTACACGAGATAGGATCGAGTCCAAACCGGTCCTCTGGGCGGCGAGGCGCGCCGTAAGGAATCTAAGCGTTTAATTAACTGCCCCCTTCACACACACCCCAGAGGACAAGGAACTCAAATAGGTACTCCCCCCAAAATCGTTTGATCAGAGGAAATTGGGTTTGCTATCCCCCAGCCCTTCACTCTTCCTGTCTTTCAGTACATCAGGATTGTTGGGGGGGTGGGAAAAGGCATAAAATCGGGGGCGGGGCAGAGGCTCCGAGCGAGGCGCACTTGCGAATCTGGGCCGCGCCCGGGTGAACTTCCCCCTCGCATCACCAGCCTGCTGCTCTGTCCCACCGGCTGCACACGTAGTGGGTCCCAGCCCTGCTAGCAGCCCTTTGCCCCTGCGGCCGGAGCTGGGCCCGACCTCGCTTTCCGGGGCCGCGCTGGGGTACGCGTGGGCGCGCGCTCAGCCGTCTCGATCCCGCGGTGGTGTCCGCTCTCCGCGTTTTCGCTCGTGCCGGGCCCGGCGGCCGAGGGCGGGGTGCGCGGCGGCGCCGCGGCGCGCGGCTCCGGAGCCCGAGCGCACTCCTCCTGCAGCCCCGCTGCCAACGCCGCCTCCCGCTGCCGCCGCCTGACAGCGCTCCCGGAACATGCCAGCCTCGCGCCGCCTGCGCTGACTTCCCAGAGACGTGCCGCGGCCGGCACGGAGACTTTCTGGGCTCTGGATGGTTCGTGTGCTGCCCACCCTCGCCCACCACTGACGCCGCGGACCGCAGTCCGCAGTCCGCAGCCCCGCGCGGGGCGGAGGACAGTGCAGCCGAGTTCCATCTCCCTCGCGCGAGGTGAGTGGCAGCCCGGATCCCGGCGGGTTCCGCAGAGAGGGCTGCGGCGCGGTGGTGGGGGCCGAGCGCCGCAGGGGCTGGGCCAGGCGCCTTCGCTGGCACCGCCGGGGTCTGTGACACCCAGACTGGGTCGGTGTCGCAGAAAATCAGGGAGAAGGGCGTAATCGGTGTGTTGGGCTGTGTCGACAGGGAAAGCTGATACTCGCTGCAGCTTGGAGAGGGCTTCACAGACGCTCCCCGCAAGACTCCTGTTTGCTGCATCACAAGCAAGTCTTCCCTGGGTTCTCTCCGGAGTGGAAAACGCTCCTGTGGCCAGGGGGTCGGGGCGATGCGGGGCGCCGGGAGGCGAGGGTGCGTTGGCCTGTCCCTGCCGCTTAGGATCGCCTGTCACCTATTGGCGTCCGAAGGGAGGGTCTCGATTCTCCCCTCTCGAGCTGGGTAGAGGGCCTGGGGGGTTTTGGCCGGGGCACATCAACTTCCCACTCTCCTCCACCCCCGCCCCGCGTTGGTGTTTTCTGAATGTAGCAAGGATGTAGGAAAAAATGGGAGCGTCTTCCTCTCTTGAGGCAGAAAAAGTTGAAGAAACTAGGCATGTTCATAATTATTAGGAGCGAGACATAGGATGCAGCAGAATGCTGTTAAATTTTCATTGCCCTCTAAGAAAAACAAACGGCATCGCCAGTGACTATTGGCAGTGCTGTGTTATTCTTGGGACTTTGGGAAAATTGTTCACAGATTGTCTTCAGGAGGCTGAAGAATGAGGTTGGGGGTTGGGGGCAGAGGACGGCTGGCATCATGCTGAGTTCCAGCTTGCCTAAGGAGCGTTCAGGACCACAAGCCCAACACGTTTGGTTGCTGATTTTTAAAAGGGTATCAGCGGCAGAACTGAGGCCATGACCTAGGCGAACACACCACAGGAACCAGTCTAAGGAAAAAAAACAAAACCACCACCACCACCAACAACAACAACAACAACAAAAAAAAAAAAAAAAAAAAAAACCACGTAAAAATCTGCCTCTCCTGCAGAGTTCACATGCATTTGTGCTATAAAATGGATGCATGTATATGTGTCTTTGAGGATAAATGTTATGAATGACAAAGCAATGAAATTGTATCTTGTATCTATCCGTTCATACATACAGTGTGGTCTACTGCCTCCTTTTAATCAGTACTTAGGAAGGCTGTGCCTGCAGTTGATGTTATATAATTGACATGGTTCACCATCAGACATTTTTTTTAACGTACTTTTGGAGTAAAAGGAACTTCCATCTGTCTTTTCAGACAGGCCCAAGGTGTAGACGGGTGAGGGTTGCTAATGTTTGCTGTAGTCTGGCTCCAGATGTGTGAGCTCAGCTGTTGCCTGTCACTTAGGTGACAACTGGCCCTTTTCCACTAAGCCTTTGCTGTCTGCATTATCCTTAGTGAAGTGTCAGTGTTCAGCCGCCTTCTATTATCAGGAGTGGACTCTAGCCCCTTGGGAGCCGGCAGCCTTATTTGACCATCCCCAACATTATGTCTGTTTTCAGACTCTAGAAAGGAGAAAAAAAAAAAAAATCCCATGACAGCAAGATAGATACATTTTGAATTAAGCATCAACTTAATCCAAAGATTCTGCTTTAATCAAGACAGCTCTGTAAGGATGACGCAATATTTGTCAAGCCTTTTCTCTGGAACAATATTTACTCCCACCAGGGGATTTTAAACTTAAATAGCAGCCATTCATCTTGCTGTCTGGCAGAGCCTGGTTCAGTTTGCCTCCAATGTGGTCCTAGCCTTGGTGGCTAGGCTTGGCCTGGGACAGGAATCTGTCATTGTAGCCCAGCTGGAGCCTGAAGAAAGCAAAATACAGCACCTGCTGGTACCAGAGGGCTTCTAAATGCCATCAACTGGTGAGTCAGGAAACGCAGGAGATATTTTACAAGCTCTTCCAGAAATGTTTATACAAAGGATTTAGAGGGTAACAATGCATGTGCTCTACATATTAAAACTGAAAGGTGCTACAAATAAATGGATGTTACCCACAGTTAAGGGTTTGCACACTTGCTGATGAACTTGAAGATCTCCAAGTTTATTAAGTCATGGCTAACACAGTATGAGTCTTTCTTATAAATAAGCCTCAAAAAGAAGGAAGGAAGGAAAAGAGGGAGGCATGGAGAGAGAGAGGGAAGAAGGAAGGAAAAACTGGATAGTTTCTAGAGGTAGACGTATTGATGCAACTGAATGGGCTTAGTAAATTAATTTTTCCATCTTTAATTTGGTACTAATTGGCGAGTTATCACTGAGTGAGCCTGTTGGTTCATGGGTTTTAAAAGAAAAGTGATATATTTTACTAAAGTGACAGATTCAATCAGTTCTGCCAGTAACACCAGTGAAGCTTAAAAAGCTTATTATGTTTTTATAACCAAGGTCCATGGAGCCACTATTTGTCCATGGTGGGGGGTGGTATAATAAGTCAGCTTGAGTCACCCAAATAAAATCTAATATTAGCTAGGGAGAAAAAAAGATCCCCTGTAGGGTTAATAGCTGAACTCTATAGAGTTAGCTGTAGGTAAAAATCTAGTTGTTCCTAATATTCTCTCCTGTGATAATTCCTAAAAGACCAAAAAAGTTAAAATTTGTGGTTTATTTGATTGAGGCTTTTAAAGAGTAAGCTGAAATAGAAGTTTTAAAAGTTGCATCATAATTTCTCTAAAATCTCTTAAATTACTTGAAAGCAAAATACAAAGATTTGAGTGTTATGAGTGATTATCTATAATACTCATGAAATGGAACAAGAATCTTTACATAGCATTTTCTGGTAATTAAGTAACTCTTTTAATGTCCTATACCTATATTTTGGGTTATCTAATATTATGGGAACCAATTTTCAGTAAAGATGATCACTACTTGTATTCTAGTTACTGCAGTTAATTTGCTGGTTAAACTAGTTTATAAAGAGAAAAATTTTTTTTAAACAAAGACAGGAAAGCTACATGCCATGGTGCTTGGCTCTATAGCCCCAGCTACTGGGGAGGATCACTTGAGCCCAAGAGTTCAAGTTCAGCCCTGCCAACACTATGAGACCCTATCTCTGTAGGTGGGGGAAAAAAAGATAATCAAAAAAATCAAAGTGATTCTTACCTGTGCATAGAAATGTTAAAAATAACACTTGACTAGGATGGAATCCACCCCCTTGGAAAAATAGTTGTCTCTTTCATCTCCATGTTATGTAAAATAATATCAACTGTTTAACCCTTATTAGTGAGAGAATATTAAGGCTGTTTAAATCTATGTATAATTATTCCACAATAAAGAGAAGGAGTTAGGAAACCAAAAGGGTTGCTTTTCTGGGTTGCTTGCTCGGTTGGTGTTTTAAGGGACCATTACTTCTTTTTCTTCTGGTCACAGAAGAAAGGATTACGAGACTGCACACCAATATCTTTAGAAGGTTGATGTGAGCAAACAAGTTGAGAGAGGGAAGTACGATATTCTGGGCACCAAGTCCTGCATGTTGCAGTTCCTCGAAATCTCATGCAGCTTATGGAGCCAGCGCTCCAGAACACGGTGCCAAGGACCAAGATGGCATTAAGGAATCTGCAGCAGCCCAGAGCCTCTGATTTCCCCATCTCTGGACACACAGAAGTGTAGTGCCTCATCTGCCCCAGTAACTGGTAACAGCACCTCCTTGTTTATGGTCATGTTGAACTGAAGTGGAGGTTAATTACCTACGTGTTGATTAATGAACATTTTTGAGCAGTGAAAATAGCCTGGCCTAAAATTGCATGCGAAATCTGAGTAAGCCGCTGTTTCCCGCCTTACCCTCTCTTCTGAAGCAGGGATGGTGAACGAGACAAGCTTCACACGTTGGAGCACGCTGATGTCATGACACTTCTGGCGCAGAGATATGATAGGATAATCAGATCACTTTTTTGTATGCCCGAATGACATGATTTTTCCAAGAACCATTCCTGAGCCGCTCGTCCACTGGCATTGACTATTTCCAGTTATGGGGGCTGGGGAGGGTGATCAAACCTCTCAGAATGTAATAATTCTTCTTATGTCTCTGTTTTATGTGCTTGTTTAGGCTAAACTCTAAATGCATTTTGGTTACTTTTGAAAGGACCTCTCCAGAAACAAGAATGATTGCCCAGCCTGAACCGATTAGACCTTTCCAGCCTCATTCTCCTATAAAGAGAGATTTTACATATAAAATAAAAGTAAAAATGTCCACCAGGCAGAAGCCAATGTAAACATTTTAAAACTTATAGCTGAAACTAGCAAGCAGCTATCATTTGCCTTTACTTAACTTTCTCCTGCTCTAAGTTTGATCCTAAGTGAGCCTAAAAGTCAACTGATCAATTCAACAGCAGTTGCATTTTTCTCACTGGTAGATTTGGGGTAAACTCTTGGGAGAGATGCCTTTCATTTCTAGTGGATTACACTTCAGAAAAAAACTTAGGGCTGTGTTATTTCAGTTGTTCTGGTACTGAAGTCATGGACTCCTTTCTAAGAGTTTTGTTCCAGCTGCTGATTTATAGCACCCACCAGCTTCTGCTTTGCGTGTGCTTCCTCTATGTCTTCCTTTTCTCATTGGGTCTCTGGAAGAAAGATCTGTCAGTAACGCAATGAAAATACTGCATTGAGATACAGACCTGTAAGTAGACTCCTCCATGTTGAGCACTCTCACTCAGCTGCCCTTCTTTTATCCGAGGCACAGATCCCCTGGCTTGCAAGTATGGTCTTTGACTTCGGTAACAATTCTGTTTGAAATGTTTCCAATTACACACAATATTGGCGGCATGTAGCAGCTGCATGCCAAAAAGCATTTCGAAGTGTGTTCCAAGAATCAGGCTGTGATTGCCTTTAATTTAAATAAAGGCTATTTGGTTTCCTGTGATTTTTTTTTTATAACCACCTTTCCCCCCATTTTTGTTGCCTTTAAAAAAAAAAAGTCTAATATAAAGTAGCCACCACTTAATATTGGCCCTAGTGTTCTAGGATAGCCATTTGCTTTGAGCAAGCACAACAAACTTTTTAAATAAAGGAATTTTAAAGAAACATTGTATAGGAGCTTGGATTTCCCCAAAGAAGTAAAGGGGACAAGGTTATCTTATAGCATATTGTAAGTAGCTAATGTTTTCAAGTTTGCCATTCTCCCTCTTTAGGAACATATCAATATAATTATCTTTTTAGGTCATTGGAGACCATTTGGTATACTTTTGTTTTTCAGATTCCTGTAGTTTTCTTTTTATGGGTCTATGAAGAAGTGTTATAAAAGAACATTAAAAAGGCAGAGGGATCTCAATAAGAATATTCTTAAAATGAGGGGTGGAGGGGAATCAGCACATAATTTCACAATTTTATAGGAAGTAAACTCTCCAAATTTGCCTCCTCTGTGGGCTGGAAATCTCTGAACACTGAACCCTTTTTTTAAACCTTTTAAAACTGGTAGTTTAAATCTTTTAATAGCTACCAGATATATTTGACTTATTAGATCTGAAAATAAGAAAATATACATTCTCAGGACTTGGAGTGAATGGACAGGTAATAGAACTGGGGAGTTCTGTTTCCAGGACAATTTTGGCCCACCTGAAACATAACACCGAGAGCTAGAGGGTATCCAGTAGGTGAGGTGCTAAGATGGTCCTAATTAAGGTGTTTTCATATAGGCTCTTTCAATCCTGGCAAAAACATCCTACAGAATATAGTGCTTCTTTGGGTCAAACAGTAATTGACTTGCATAAATGCCAACATCTCTTCTGGCATTTTTGGAAATCTTCCATCGTGTAATAAATAGTACTGTTTAATCCAAATTTGTAAATGCCATGTTTTATGTAGCCCCTGTAGAGACAGCTGAAATTAGCCCATGCTGCCAGGGATGATTGAGATCCTGGAGATGAGGTGACTGCCCAAATCCAAAGTACTACCAGTGACTAATGCTATTGGAGGCCTTGGATGAAATCTAGGAGGTGTGAGGTTAAGCTTAGCATAGTATTGTACTGTGAAGAAGTGCCCACCAAATGATACTTAGAGTTTTCCCTTAAATCCACTTTATCCTTGGAAATTGTCTTTCCATTAAGCAAACCTTCTTGGAGGAAATTTGCTCCACTCAAGGTAAAATGAGGTTAATGTTATTTTACCAGCCTAGCACCCTAGCTTGCCAGACACATCCACCTTACCCAGGCCCATTGCTATAGAGACAAAACCCACAGTAACTATGGTTGAAATAGAAAGTCTATTAAAACCTTTTTCTATATTGGCCAGCTCCTCTGCCCCAGTTAACATGCTGCCTTCTGTGTATACACACACACAGACACGTGCACACACACACACACACACACACACAGTTTCAATCTAATAATAGTAAACTGCTGTAAGCCATGTATATTTTCACCAACGGCATTTGCACTTCTTTGGTTTATCTCACTGATAAGCAAATATTACGGCAATTTTCTGATGAAACTCATAACTTGTTAACTCTAATTGATATTTCCAACTATCCTATTTACATGCGTGAATAATCTAAGTTCCTGATTTGGACTCTGGAAAGGGGCTAGGTTTCAGGGGTGTTCAATCTTTTGGCTTCTGTGGGCCACATTGACAGAAGATTGTCTTGGGCCACACGTAAAATACACTAAAATACTAACAATGGCTGATGAACTAAACAAAAAAAAAGAAATCACACAAAAAAATCTTGTAACGTTTTAAGAAAGTTTACAAATTTGTGTTGGGCCACATTCAAAGCCATCCTGGGTGGCATGTGGCCCTCGGGCCATGGGTTGAACAAGCTTGCGCTATGTAGCATGGTATTTTGTTTTGCTTTGAAATATCTCTTCCAAATCATTTGGAGAATGTTAGATTTTATATAAGAATTCTGCTTAGCGTTAATGTTGAAATATGTGTTATAATGTATATCAAAAAAAGATGACATTTTACATTCTTCTGTGACTATGTAATTAATAAGTATGTTCAGTGCTTGAAGTGCATGCATGTTACCTAATGTTTAGAAAGAGATAAAGTCAGGTCTGAAGTGCATTAGAGAATCACAGATGTTTCTTGTAAGAGAATACATACGCTTCTTAGGAATTTCGAACTGCTTTCTGATGCTAAGCTTTGTTCACTGCAAGGATCCTATGAATAATTTCATTGAGTTGTTCCAGTTCTTATTTACACAAGCCTTGAGAAAGGAGCTGAAGTGATAAATAACTTGCCCCCCTCACCTAGTTCTGAATTGCTTTAGCCTTTTATGTTTCATGTGAATGTGAAAGGAGAGAATAAAATATACAGAGAAGATGTTTGTGTTTAACTAACTTAATCATACAAGTTCCCTTTGTGGGCCTTCTATAAGCTTAAACAGCTTGGCAGGCTAATAGCCAAAAACATGTCCTCAAGTACTGCCAAAAGTGTTAAAAGCAGACCCGGCTTTCTCCATATTGAAGTACTGGGAACATATTTTTTTTAACCTTCTGAATTTTAAGGGATAAATCAGAAAAATCACTCTTTTTTTCCTCCCCCTCCTTACCCATGGAAACCAAAATTATTATTCATAGCAGTGCTGAAATGAGAAACTGATAGGAGTTATGATTTTTCTGTGAGAATGTTTTAAACTAGCCTGATTTGGCTGTTTAGGCAGGAAGCAACCAGGTTATGACAGTATATGATGGGTCTTTTTTTGTTACTGTTTGTGCTGCGTGTAGATACTGACTTCTTTGCTTTAGTTTCATAACTTTTTTTTTTTTTTTTTTTGAGATGGAGTCTCCCTCTATTGCCCAGGCTGGAGTGCAGTTGTGCGATCTTGGCTCACTGCAACCTCTGCTTCCTGGGTTCAAGAGATTCTCCTGCTTGAGCCTCCCAAGTAGCTGGGATTGCATGCACACACCACTACGCCTGGATAATTTTTGTATTTTTAGTGGAGCCGGGGTTTTACCATGTTGGCCACACTGGTCTTGAACTCCTGACCTCAAGTGATCCACCGGTCTCGGCCTCCCAAAGTGCTGAGATTACAGGGGTGAGCCACTGCACCTGGCCTCGTTCCATAACTTTTAATGAAATACTTTGCCCATTTATCCTGTCTTTTCTCAAGTAGAGATCCCAACATAGACAGTAGTGGAAGGAAGTGCTATAATAGTACAGAAAAGGTCAGTTTTCTTTTTAACAGTTTTTTGGATTAAAACCAGAAAACTCAAACTAGTACAATAACTGTGTGATTTGGGGCCAGTCTCTCAGCCTCTCTGGGCTTCAGTTTCTTCATATATAAAATGAGAGAATTAGACTAGATCAGTGCATATTAATCAAAGGACTGAATCACATACATCTATGGTGCCTTTCAAAATACAAATACCCAGATTTTAATGCAGTGGGTTTGGGGGGCAGTCTTGCACTTTTAGCTTGAACAAGCTCGAGCCATTAAATTAGATGATGTCTAAGGTATCCTTCTCACTCAAAACTGTGTTTCTAATCCTACTAGGCTGAATTATCTGCCTACCTGCCTTTCTTGTTTTTTCTTTCCTTTTCCTTTCCCTCCCTTCCTCACTCTTTCCCTCCCTTTCTGCCTCCTTCCATCATTCCTTCCTTCCTTCCCTCCCTTCTTCCTTTTCTCCCCTAGTCCTTCCTTCCTTCTGTCCTTACTTTCTTCCTTTCTCTTTTGTTCATTCATTCACTCTTAATGACTGCTTTTATTCCTTAAAAGTAGTCATTGATATTTTGCTGTCAAAATATTATAGATGTCATTTTAGCCTGGAAATGAACATCTGTGTTCTGTGCCTGTGAGTAGATGCTAATCACAAGGAACCATGTTTGTTCACCATTGCATACCCCATGCTGACACGTGCCTGGCGCATAGTAGACACTTGACAAATACAGGGAGACCAAGAAGTCAAGAAACTTAAAAATATATATACTGTTATGTTTACAGATAATATCCTCAATATATATTTTGTCAACTTCCAAATGCCTCTCACACAAAGTATCTCCAAATTTAAAACAATGAGCATAATTGTTTATCTGAAAAAAAAACATAATAAATACATTGTTTTCCTTCAGTTTCCAGACTTTAGGCATACTCCATGGTACGTTTATTGTGTTTTTCTCCAGGTTAACAACTGATCTCATTGCTTTACATTTGAAAATACTTCAACTGAAAACATAGCTGGAAGTTGACAGAAAAAGATGTTGAGCACATTATTCAAAAGTATAATTAACATACTGTTGAAAAATAAATCGATCCTGTGTTTCCTCACTTTTTGAGCATCCATATTTGTTGAATGAATGAATTTCAATTTTCTGTGTCAATTTAAGAAATATAATATGACCAAATCATTGTAAAGGTTTTAAAACATATCTGGGATCAAGTATGGTGACTCATGCCTGTAATCCCAATACTTTGGGAGGCCAACGCAGGCAGATCACCTGAGTTTAGGAATTCGAGACCAGCCTGGCCAACATGGTGAAACCCCGTCTCTACTAAAAATACAAAAAATTAGTGGGAGTGGTGGCATGCACCGATAGCCCCAGCTACTTGGGAGGCTGAGGCAGGAGAATCACTTGAACCCAGGAGGTAGAGGTTGCAGTGAGCTGAGATGGCGCTATTGCATTCCAGCCTGAGCAACAGAGCAAGACTCCATCTCAAATATTAATAATGATAGTAATAATAAAGAAGACATATGATACCTACTTTCCTTGGTTTGTTGTTGTTGGTTGCCATTTTGGAAGAGGTTTTTTGTTGTTTTGTTTGTTTTTTAATTAAAAGAAGAACTTTAGGCCTAAATTCTTGCACGACTTCCACTTCCACCCTTTTGGCTCTCTCAGCAGCACCATGGCGGTTGGCAAGAACAAGTGCCTTATGAAAGGTGGCAAAAAAGGGAGCCAAGAAGAAAGTGGTTGATCCATTTTCTCAGAAAGATTGGTATGATGTGAAAGCACCCACTATGTTCAATTTGAGAAATATTGGAAAGATACTAGTCACCAGGACCCAAGGAACCAAAATTGCATCTCATGGCCTCAAGGATCGAGTGTTTAAAGTTAGTCTTTCTGATTTGCAGAGTGATGAAGTTGCATTTAGGAAATCCATGCTGATTACCCAAGATGTTCATGGCAAACTCTGCCTGACTAACTTCCACTGCATGGATGTTACCCGTGGCAAACTATGTTCCATGGTCAAAAAAGTGGCAGACAATGACTGAAGCTCATGTTGATGTCAAGACTACCAATGGTTACTTGCTTCAACTGTTCTGTGTTGGTTTTATTTAAAAAATGCAACAATCAGATACGGAAGACCTCTTATGCTCAGCACCAACAGGTCTGCCAAATCCAGAAGATGATGATGGAAATCATGACCCGAGAGGTGCAGACAAATGACTTGAAAGAAGTGGTCGATAAATTGATTCCAGACAGCATGGGAAAAGACATAGAAAAGGCTTGCCAATCTATTTATCCTCTCCATCATGTCTTTGTTAGAAAAGTAAAAATGCTGAAGAAGCCCAAGTTTGAATTGGGAAACCTCATGGCGCTTCATGCTGAAGGCAGTAGTTCTGGAAAAGCCACTGGGGATGAGACATTGCTAAAGTTGAACGAGCTGATGGATATGAATCACCTGTCCAAGAATTTGTTTAAAGTTCAGACTTATAATAGTGGCAAATAAAAAGTCTTATTTGTGGGGAAAAAAAAAAAAAGAAGAACTTTAAAACTCACCATTCTGAAATCTGGCTAACTATCCAATTTCCTTTGAAATTTTACACTGTATAGACACGGCCAGTGGCAAAATCAGCTAGCTTTAGCACCTTCTTTCTACAGTACGCCCCTTGCCAAATCAAATAATCAGGGTCTCAGAATGGAAAATTCTACCTGAATTTTCTACCTGGGTTGTTTGCACATATCACTGGAAAACTCTCTTTTAGTTATTATGTGAAGAAATACTGTGAGGCATTTTAGGAAAATACTTAACTGTAGCTAAACAGTTCAAGGATCATTTGAAATAAATTGAGAGCTGGTTCAAAGTATTGTATAAAGCCTTATATTTGCAGATTTAACTTTCCTGAAGTTTCACAGCAAATCTCCTTGTTTGTGCTGAACTTTAATATTTTTAAAAAAGACATGTGAGATCACAGCTCACTCTGTCCTTTCAGATCTCTGCTCAAAAGTCATCTGATTTCAGAGAGCCTTCCGTGGTCACCCTGTAAAAAACAGCAGCATCCCTGCTTTTCCTGAGTCACCATCCAGCACCCCTCAATCCTCTTAAGCTTTTGTACTTTTTTTCACAGCACTATTAGATATTTATTGTGATAGCTACCTGTTCCCTGAAGATGCCTCTATACTGTTTCATCTACTTCCATTTTAATGTTGTATATAAAATAAAGACAAGGCCAGGAGCAATGGCTCATGCCTGTAAGCCCAGCACTTTGGGAAGCTGAGGCAGGTGGATCACCTGAGGTCAGGAGTTCAAGACCAGCCTGGCTAACATGGTGAAACCTGGTTTCTACTGAAAATACAAAAAATTAGCCTGGCATGGTGGCGCGTGCCTATAATCCCAGCTACCCTGGAGGCTGAGGTAGGAGAATCACTTGAATCCGGGAGGCAGAGGTTGCCGTGAGCCAAGATCTTGCCATTTCACTCCAGCTTTGGCAACAAGAGCAAAACTCCATCTCAAAAAAAAATAAAATAAAGGCAAATAGTAACCAGTATTCTGTTTTTATCTAAAATTTTTTAGAAAGGAGACAGAGATATTTTATTTGGAGAATTTTGTGGTTTTATTATGTTTTTTCTCCCTGGCTGAAGTGTAGTTTCTCAGCTGTTTACTCTTTTATTTAAATAAAGCCAGAGGTAGCTTGATGGAAATAGCGTTGATTCTGTAAATTACTTTGGGCAATATAAATTGTTCTACTATAAGGACACATGCACACGAATGTTCATTGCAGCACTGTTTACAATAGCAAAGACCCGGAATCAACTCAAATGCCCATTGACGATAGACTGGATTGGGAAAATGTGGCACATATACACCATGGAATATTATGCAGCAATCAGAAATGATGAGTTCATGTCGTTTGTAGGGACATGGATGAATCTGGAGAACATCATTCTCAGCAAACTGACACAAGAACAGAAAATGAAATACCGCATATTCTCACTCATAGGCAGGTGATGAAATATGAGAACACATGGACACAGGGAGGGGAGTACTAAACACTGGGGTCTGTTGGGGGGAAAAGGGGAGGGCCAGCGGCAGGGGGGAGCTGGGAAGGGATAGCCTGGGGAGAAATGCCAAATGTGGGTGAAGGGGAGAAGGAAGCAAAACACATTGCCATGGGTGTACCTATGCAACTGTCTTGCATGTTCTGCACATGTACCCCAAAACCTAAAATGCAATAAAAAATTTAAAAAAATAAAAAAATAATAATAAATAAATAAATAAAGCCAGAGGAACGTGGCAGAAGAGGAGAAAATATGCTGGTCAAATAACCTGCTTCCTTTTCCACACCCACACATGACCAATAAAATATAATTGTCTAGCAAAGGGATGCTATATTAATAGAAGATTGAATATTTGCAACAAGGAAGCTATGTGACTTCCTTCTTCATAATACACCTATGCCACTCTGTAACCTTAAAAAATAGAGGTAGAATCTTCAGAGAGGCTTGTGGTGTTGCCATGTATGTTAAACATGGATGACAGACTGTCTTTCACTTAAAAAATCTCCTGATTTAAATTCTAGGGGTGAAAAGCTAATCCTCAAAGTGATTTCAGCCAGCTTGCTAGGAAACCTAGTTGCTTGAAATTATTATTTTAATGTCTCAATTTCCAGAGCTAAATTGGCAGTAAGTCAGTTTTCCTATTAAAAATCTGAGCCAACTTATTTATCCAGAAATTACCAGTTTTAACTTGGGGGTTCTTTACTATAATAAGACTAATACCTCCAAGGTACATAAAACACTTTCAGATTTATCTCATTTATCTTCCTTGCATCTTTGTGTGCAGGTCTAACCAAGGTTATCCCAGTGTACTGATGAGGAAACTGCCTCTTAGTTCAAGATGCAGCTTCCTAAGGAGCTTCGGTTTGGCAGTTCCTAAACGAAGGAATGTTTGCAGTTAAATTTTTAGTAAGAAAAAAAAATAGGAAGGGAAAGTAAGTAAGCACTTGCAGCTTATCCAAAATTGTTTGATGATGTTTTATTGTTTCATAAATATTGTTGTGCTTATGTTTGTTCTATATTAAATGCTTTTAGATAATTATTGCATCTCCCACTAATAACATGCATGTGATCTTGGATGAGTCACATAATTTTCTGGACTTTTTAACCACTCTGTGCCTCAGTTTCCTCAATTGTAAAGTGAGGAGGGCCTGGTGATTTTTTAAGCTCAAAATGTACTTGACTATAAAAATAGGGAGGTCATAACTTCAGGGGGATAGATAATAAATAACAAATGTGAGCTGGTAGTATTATTATTAGTCTCATCATTCTCACTACCTGGATCCCAAATTGGAATTTTTCTTTAACAGTCTACTCAAAAGTATTCATATGAGCCAGGTGCAACTTATAGCTTTATTGATTATGCAGTGTGGCCAGTTAAAATTCCAGAATAGCTATGTTTTAAAAACCTAAGAGAGTATACACTTCCCCTGACCAAAAGTCTGGTTTAGTAGGTTACCTTAGAGTTCAATATGACAGCTAAAAAAGAAAAAAATTGTGGTGATATTAAAGAGCAAATTATTAATCTAATGTTATTACAATAGTGGCATAAATATGTTTATACTAAAAATTACAAATGTGCCAATTATGTTTATACCTGGGAAACATGGAAAATTTTAAAAGTAGTACTCAAACTAGCATGTTCACTTGTATCACCAGTGATTAGAACTGTGTTTAAAAATGTGCATGCCCATTGACCAAATTGGATTTAATTTTGGGAGACTTAAAAAGGGTTTGCTGGAAAATAAAAATAACCTAACATTCATTTTAATTGCATTCCTAATTTTTTTTTTTTTGAGACAGTCTCACTCTTTCACCTAGGCTGGAGTGCAGTGGTGCGATCTCTGCTCACTGCAACCTCCACCTCTTAGGTTCAAGCGATTCTCCTGCCTCAACTTACCGATTAGCTGGGATTACAGACGCACACCACCACACTCAGCTAATTTTTTTTTTTTTTTAATAGTGACAGGGTTTCACCTTGCTGGTCAGGCTGGTCTCGAACTCCTGGCCTAGTGATCTGCATACCTCAGTCTCCCAAAGTGCTGGGGTTATAGGCATGAGCCATGACACCTGGTCCATTTCTAATATTTTCAATAACCATAATAACTTTCTTATCTTCCAAACTCCCCAGATAAATGCTGGTATAAATATGCAGTAAGTAGTGAAACTCTTCCTATATTAATCTTTGATAATATTAATCTTTGATAACACATGTTGGCATATGTCACCATACCTACTGGCCTGGATGTTCCTTTTAGTAGCATTGTAATTAATTAAATCATACACTTTTCAGCAAATTCTTAGGACCTCAGGTCTTGTTCACATTCTAATTAGGCTGCACCCAAAGTTAAAAGAGGCCCCCCCAGGAAGCATTATACTATCTGTATTATATCTGAGATTAAGTTTTTGAATTGTTCAGATGAACACAGCAGTGAGCCATGGTGTGTTTCCCAGAAGATTCATAAGTGACTATGAAATGCTGTACCAATAGGAAGAACTAATAAATGTGACATTAATAACCACCAGTTTGAATCTGGGTCACTTCAACCATGACTCAAAGATCAAACGCTATCAGATGGTAATGACTGTGTGAAAATTCTGCAGGAAGGCATTTCATTTCTTAATGACACGTTTGTGGGCCTTCTAAGTAGACTGTTAGAGGGTGGAACAGAAATAAAGTCGCATATACCCCTTGGTATGGAGGCCAGCGCTCCAGGGTATAGTTGGCACACTTTTGCAGAGATGCTTTAGGAGCAGTTCACGGTGTTTTCTGCTGTTCTCACTCCTTAAATGCATCTACAGAATCTTTCATCTTTTGCCTCTTTTCCTAACCATTTATTCACTTCAAAGTGATGGGAGCTATTTTGCATATTCTCTGCCTTCTTTTCTCTTCTCTGAAATATAAAGAGAAATTGCACTTACAAATCCATGTTAACCATTTAATGTTAAGCTTTCCCATTTTTATTTCAATTTGGGGGGATGATTTTCCTTTCAACACCCCTTTATTGAGTGCCTTTGGCTTGCCTGGCATTAAGGTAGGTTCTGGGAATACAAACATTACATAGGAGTGGTTCAGTTTTTCAAGAGCTCAGCATTGTGTAAGGGAGGAAGGCATGTAAGCACTTACAGGCAATATATTGTTGTAAAGGCAGGCATAGAGAAATGTACTGGATATAGCAGTAGCACAGAGGCAAAGCCTGAAGTTATTTGTTTTGTGTGGACTACTAAGGAAGGCTTCAAAGAGGAAGAGACAACTGAGCTGGGTCTTAATGACTAAAATAGGGTTTTGGCCACGCCATTATCAGAATGGCAGAATGGGCCAGTTTAGGCAGAAGAAAAAGTGTATACAAAGGCAGGAGCCATTAGACAAGCATGATGCTTAGTGTACTGCAAGTCTTTTTCTTTATTTTGAGACAGTCTCGCTCTGTCACCCATGCTGGAGTGCAGTGGCGCCATCTCAAGTCATTGTAACCTTTGCCTCCCGGGTTCAAGTGATTCTCCTGCCTCAGCCTCTTGAGTAGCTGGGAGTACAGCTGTGTGACACCACTGCCGGCTGATTTTTATATTTTTAGTAGAGACAGGGTTTCACCATGTTAATCAGGCTGGTCACAAACTCCTGACCTCAGATGATCTGCCCGCCTTGGCCTCCCAAAGTACTGGGATTACAGGCATGAGCCACTGAACTGGGCTGGAATTATAAGTCTTCCTATTTGGCCATAAGATGAATTGTGCTCTTAGCTATTGATTGCCACCTTTGTAAATCAGTTTAAATCAGAAATACGATACGAATTTTGGCAACTTTCATTGTGATTCTGTCTTTCTTCTCTGTGGCTGGCCTTAAGCTTCTGAGTAACATATCTGCTTTCCTTCTTAAATATTCCATTTACTTGGCCAGCCTACCAGGTGTTTACACTTGTGTCTTTTCATTGTTAGGTTGGTACAATCTGAACTTATTTACTCTTCAGTTTCACTGCCAGGTTGTAATTTCAGCCTCAAGTGTTTAGACAACATTATATAATGAATGTTATACTTTTATGACGTTTGCTTTAGTACTGTAAGAGCTTTCGATGAAAGCTAATGGTTGAAAAAAAAGAAAGAAGCCTGAATGTCACCAAGTGGCCTCCAGATGTGTTTTATTGTGTTGGTATCTCTGTTTTGTTTTCATAAAACCTTTTTTTAGTCTTAAAAAATAAAATTAAAAAACCTTACCAAGCAGAAATAGCAGACAATAGTCTCATAGGAGATGAACTATTTTCTTCATTTCCTGATTGTTATGTCTTGAACTCCTGCTTAAAAAAACAGCCACAACAAAAACCTATGATTCAGCTGATAAAAACCTCCACAACAATATAAATACTGTACTTTTAAAAGCAAATCATGTTCGTTTGTTTTTTGAAGGTAAACTCACTTCTTAGGTTGAAAGGTTCTGCCTTCTTAGGCTGGAAGGGTCTGTTTTAATATGTGATTCTTCAATGTGGCAGTATTAAAATTATGATTTAACATCTTTGAGAATTTCTGCCATCTAGTTGTTCACTGAGCAATCAGTATGTTTTCAGGCAGTCTGGCGTGTGATAAATATTTTGTAGCATATGTGGCTGAACATGCCAATTTCAAAAAGCTTTACAAGCTTTAATTAATTTTCACAATAACCAGATGTACTTTGATTTATTGATGGAAAGTCCACAGACAGTGGGGTTCCGAGTGTTGCCCACATTCATATAGCAAAGTGGTTTTCAAACTATTTTTTGTTGCTGAATACTTTTCTCAAACACAAGATTATCTGGAACACTAGCATGTAAAGTAGGATTGCTTTTGTTGGGAGGTGGAAAGGAGTTTGCCATAGGGCAGCCATATTTACAAACACACACACATATAAGATGCCTAGTTACAGTTGAATTTCAGATAAATAATGACTAATTTTTTAGTATATGTGTATCCCAAATATTGCATGTCCCCAAAAAGTTATTGGCTGTCTATCTGAAATTCCAGTTGAACTGGGCATCCTGTATTTTACCTGGCAACCCTAAGCTGGTGGCCATAACCCCATCCCTCAGCTCCCTTTTCTCCTTCCAGCCATGTGGGGTTCCTGGTTCCTTGAACACAGCTTGAAAAACCACAGACAGGAGAAGTCTATACAAATGCTGATAAATAAATAACAGTAGATTTTTCTTCTCAGTCCTAAATTTAGACAATATTACCACTTCCTTGGCTCTGTTAGAGAACTTCACGATGATACATACACCACCACACATAATAATTTTAAAGAAATATTGCTCAGCCGGGTGCGGTGGCTCATGCCTTGTATTCCTACCACTTTGGGAGACCAAGGCGGCTGTATCACTTGAGCCTAGGAGTTTGAGACCAGCCTGGGCAACATGGTGAAATCCCATCTCTACAAAAAGTAGAAAAATTAGCTGGGTGTGGCAACACCCACCTATAGTCCCAGCTGTTCGGGAAGCCGAGGTGGGAGGATTGATTGAGACTGGGATGGGAGATGGAGGCCATAGTGAACTGAAATCTTGCCACTGCATTCCAGCCTGGGCGACAGAGTGAGACCCTGTCTCAAAATAATAATAATAACGACACAAAAAGAATTATGCTTTTATTCTTTGCTTTGCCTTTCTTTTACCTTAGAATGAAATACTTTCTCTCCCAATCTTTGGGAAAAAATGTTTAAATTGCCTATTTATAGAAGCTAACACCTTAACTTCTGTTAGTTAAAGAGAATGGATAGTGTAATCAGAATTGCAGTTGGCCAAATAGAATCACTAGAGAGAAAAATGAAGAGGAGTTTGTGAGTGTGCCTCTAAAGCAGCCCAACATAGAATTGTCTCACATGGACCTCTCCTTGTCTGTTGGTCTGTTTGGCAAGCACATCGTTTAGTGATCCTGGCTTGATGGCAGTGCCCATTGAAGTGGTTCTGTTATTTTGCTCTAATATTTTAAAGCAGCCCTCAGATGTTACTCTCATTTCTCAAGTCAACTACTCCACAGAGCATTTTATTTAGCCATGAAATTTTTCAGTGAAAATGGGTACAGTCTGATTAGCAATCAGAAACAACTAAGTTTGTTTAGGCTGAAACATTCCTCCAGTGCCCAAGGAACTCACTGGATTAGTTGATTTTTAACAGTTTTTTTTTTTTTAACATACAAGAAACTGAGGACCGTATCCTGGATCTAAGGAAACCTATGTGCTTTGGGTTTGATGCTCTGCATGGGGGACGTACTAACTCTATGTAAGATTTTGTATTTGCAAAATGTTAGTAGTGGTTTATTTCCTGTTTGTTAAAATAGGAATGGGTATAATTTTATTCTTTAAAAACAATTCTTTTTTGAGACAGAGTCTTGCTCTATTGCCCAGTCTGGAGCGCAGTGGTGCTGTCACAGCTCACTTGCCTTCCTGGGCTTAAGCAATCCTGCCACCTCAGCCTACTGAGGAGCTAGGACTACAGGTGCATGCCACCATGCCTCGCTGATTTTATATATATGTATATTTGTAGAAATGAGGTCTCACTTCATTGCCCAGGCTGGTCACAAACTCCTGGACTCAAATGAGCTTTCCAACCCAGCCTTCCAAAATGCTAGAATTACAAATAAAATGAGCCTGAGCCTTCATTTTATTTTTTATGCCGTTCTCGGTTTTTTCAAAATGTGTGCTATAAGCATGTTATTTTAAAAACAACAAGTATTAGCAATATAGTTTAAACAATGTTCTTGTGCTTAAATGTTCCAAAGTAGAGAGAAAGATCATCTGGGATGTTAATAATAATTTTTTTAAAAACTGCAAATGTTTACATATCTTTCAAGTTTAATTGTATTGTGAAATCTGCCCAATTGTTTATCCTTAAAATTTGTCTCTCATTCATTCATTCATTTATACATTCAACAAATACTTATTGAAGAAACATAATATAGACATAGTCCTTTATATTACAAGAAAGGGGTTAGAGGAAAATGAAAGATGTAACCCACAGTCTTCATCCTTCAAGACTTCACTATGTAGTGGGGCAGGGCTGGGGCATGTACTCATACAGGTACCCCTGAAATGCGAAGAAAAGATGATTGGCCTCTATAGCAAATGAGCTCATTGATGCACAGTGATGATAAATGACTTTCATGAGGCTGTGTGTTACTATCAGTACCAGAACACCCAGGACACCTGAATTCCTAGTAGGGGTTCATACTCCTGCATCATAAAAACGAGGGCAAGCTCCTGTCCGTGAGGTGGGTCTGTAAAGCCATCACAATCCCTGCTGGTTTCCAAGCCCAAGTCCTAGGACCAGGGAGTTCATCTGCTTCCTCAGACAAGACCAGCCCCAAACTGGCCGCAGGGTGAGGCTAGGATCTCCCCAGCTTTAACCATAGCCTGTGTTTGTGCTGGACAGTGTCACCCTTCTATAGGCTGGTTTCAATGATTTTGTTTTTTAGGTTTTTCTTTGTAGTCTCTTGGAGGAGACAATAACCTATTCCTGTAGGAGACAATTTTATTCCTGTAATGCTTCTTCATAAGACCCTTTTATTAATCTTTCGGTTTTTTTTACACTGAAACTCATACAAAATCTATGATATAGAGCAGTCCAAAATAGTTGCATTTTTTTTCTTTTATAATATTAACACGTGAAGAAAGTTACCATTCATTGTGTTTACCTCCTTTCACAGTTCAAATCGGGTAAATTTTATTCTCAGTTTCTCAGTGGCTGGATGAAGGCAGAATTTGTGAGGCAGTTTGAAGGGATTTGTGTAATAAAGCCTAGAAAACTAAAAGTTTTGTATTTGTTCAGACAACCTTTGGGGTCAAAGTTAAATTCACACAAACTATTGCATAGTAAATTAAACTGAGTTATTGTTGACATTAATATGTAAATGCTTATAAAAATACCAGATATACAAATAGTTGCTTTAAAATAAATTTTTTTCTTTATTTTGATTGGATATGTTAAAGGTTGTATAATAATTTAATAATTTTCAAGAATTTATGAATATGGAACTTTTACTTTTTTTTTGAGACTAAGTTTTGCTCTGTTGTTCAGGCTGGAGTGCGGTGGTGCAATCTCGGCTCACTGCAACCTCTGCCTCTCTGGTTCAAATGATTTTTCTGCCTCAGCCTTCTGATTAGCTGGGATCTCAGCTGGGATTACAGGCACCCACGACCATGCCTGGATAATTTTTGTATTTTTAGTAAACACAGGGTTTCTCCATGTTGACCAGGCTGGTCTCAAATTCCTGACCTATGGTGATCTACCCATGTGGGCCTCCCAACATGCCATAATTACAGGCATGAGCCACCGTGCCTGGCCCAGGAATTTTACTTTTAAGGCACACATTTGAATTTGGAAATCCACTGAAGTAGCTATGAAAGAACTTTCCTGAAGGATTTATTTTACTTACCAATAAATTAGGTGTTTTCTAGAAAGAGAAATATGGGTGCCATTCAAATTGCCTAATTATAATTCTGTGAGCTGTTGAAATCAAACAAATGTCTTGATCAGTTGAGCTGCCAGATGGAATTTTATCTAAAACCAGTTCAGCTGCTTTCATACTTTAGGACTTCTGTGAATTTTATCACAAAATTACTTCATACTCCATTTGGAAGGTAGTTACTTAAGCACAGAGTATGACAATTGTTTAACAGTGCACAGTGAAACTTAAATAATTTATGACTCAAGGAAGGGAGCTATATCTAATTGAAACATCTAGGGTAATTCAGGTAGGTGGACATAACCAGTCAGGTATCGTGCACTGTTCCAATTCGGATTGGCTAATGAGCCTGTAAGGCTGAGACGTACTTTGCCTTGCTTTTCTTGAAAGTTTACTTGGCCATTAGCACAGTGCCACCTAACATCACGCTGGGACATTGATTTTGAATCGATTCAGAAAGGAGTGCCAGGGGTCACTTAGTGACTATCTAGTCAGTAGCAGGTGTCCGCTGCAGATCTTTCATTTCAGAGTCTGTGCTTTTTAGCTGATGACATAATCTTTCAGCTATACCATCCCAAGCAGAATTTCCCAGTGCCACGGTGCTCATCTTAAACATGAAGCCTGGTGGAGTGATGTGTTCCCATTATTGATCCATCCGTTCCAGAGATTATGTCACCACAAAGGAGTTAATTGGTCTCGTTTTGAGGGTCATGTTTAATTGCATAGGTCAGCAAAGGAAGATAAATGACAGCTTCTTTCAGTCTGCCTCACTTTTTCTCTAAGACTGCTGAAACAGTGCAGTCGATTCCCTTAATCACCACAGCTGGCACCATAAGAATGACATACAAACTGAAAAAGGTTACTGGTATATAAAAACCTGAGTTAATGAGTCCAGATAGTTAAATAAATATAGAATATCCTTAAGCTGACTTGCTCACAGAAATCTTTCCACATCCAGCAGAAAGAAAGGAGGCACTAGATGGCAGTCTTCAACAAACTTGAAATGACATTTCCTCTTAAATGCACTACCTAAAAGCAGTCACTTTTGTTCTGAATGAACTTAGGCTTGAACTCTATGTCACAAAAAAATGCAAATCTATGGGTATCGTGTACTTTAATGTCATGTTATAGAATTTTGTTTCGAAATGTAAAATGATTCCATATATACTTCAAAGGTCCGTTGCTGAACTAAGTACTGAGTATTTTAATACCTGTTTTAACTTTACATTTTAAAATGCCATTGGAGAGCTTTTTTCAGGATGTAATAACTAGAGAAAAAATGATGGTATGTCCATAAAATGAAAAATTATGCAGCTGTCAAAAGTAAAGATGTGAAGGTAAAGTAGTATGAAAGGATATTAAGGACATATTTAGGTGGAAAAGGTAGATTATAGACCAGTATATATATGGCGTGATCATTATTTTATGGAAAATCATATGCACACACTGTGTATTGGTATGTCTGTGTTGGTCTCTGAGAGATGGGACTATGGTTTATGGATTTTTTTCTTTCTTCTTATCAGTTTTATATCAAAAAAATACATTTCAGTCGACACCAGAGACTACAAAAGGTGGGAGAGTAGAAGAGGGTTGCAGAATGAGAAATTACCTATTGAGTACAATGTTCACTATTCAGATGATGGCTGCACTAAAAGCCCAGACTTCATCACCTTGCAATATATGCATGTAAGAAATCTGCACTTGTACCCCCTAAATCTATAAAAACAAGTTAAATTAAAAGTATATTTCTTCTGAATTATAATGGTTTTTAAGATGTACACAATAGAATAAAATTGCTTTGCTGATCTCAGATGAACTGTTTGAAAATACTGCTTTCAGTTATTTCGTTTTATTTCTCAAGTGTATTTATCAACTTTACCCTATGTGCTTTCTCATGTTGCTCAGTTAGTATTAACACCATGAGATTTTTGTTGTTTAAAATAATGTGGGCTGGGCATGGTGGCTTATGCCTGCAATCTCAGCGCTTTGGGAGGCTAAGGTGGGAGGGTCACCTGAGCTCAGGAGTTTGAGACCAGCCTAGTCAACATGGTGAAACCCAGTCTCTACAAGAATATACAAAAATTAGCCAGGTGTGGTAGCATGCACCTGTGGTCCCAGCTACTCGGGAGGCTGAGGTAGAAGGATCACTTGAGCCTGAAAGGCAGAGGATGCAGTGAGCTGAGATCACACCACTGAGCTCCAGCCTGGGCTGTAGAGCCAGACCCCATCTCAAAAAAATATGTAAAATAAAATAAAATAATGCAAAAAGTGAAAATAATGCTATATATTATATAGCATAGTGAAAATAATGCTGTATATTAGCAGATCGTAGGCAGATCTCAAGGATGATTTATATGTTAATTTATTTTCTTTAGTTTTATATCCAGGTAAGTATTTATTGGGCCAGATTCCATTCACAGTGAACATTTATGAAACACTAAAGATGTGCAAATTACACATTATCAGGAATTATAAATATTGGATTGTGAAGAAAGAAATGAAGGTTTTCAAGGGTTATTTTTCTCCATGAGCTATCTTCATCTGTCTGTATGCGTGTGTGTTTAGAGAGGAATGCATATCGCACCTAAAGAAGGTAAAGCTTATACTTCTCATCTTCTCTCTAGGACATTGATATCTTTGCTCCTGTACTACAGTAGAGAATAATGTTATTTGGGGAAAAAAATTTAAGTATTTTTTAAAAATAACCACACACCAAAAATTTCATTCCATTTGAGAAATACTCCAGAAATAATCATCTGGCAAGACTGAAAATTTCTATAACCGACTGTATCGTAGTAGTCTTTTTTTTTTGAGACGGAGTTTTGCTCTTGTTACCCAGGCTGGAGTGCAGTGGCGCAATCTCAGCTCACCGCAACCTCCGCCTCCTGGGTTCAAGCAATTCTCCTGCCTCAGCCTCCAGAGTAGCTGGGACTACAGGCGTGCGCCACCATGCCCAGCTAATTTTTGTATTTTTAGTACAGATGGTGTTTCACCGTGTTGACCAGGATGGTCTCGATCTCTTGACCTCGTGATCCACCCGCCTCAGCCTCCCAAACAAAGTGCTGGGATTACAGGCGTGAGCCACCGCGCCCAGCGTTCCATAGTAGTCTTTATAAAGCAAGTTCACAAAGTGCAGCCCATTCATAAGGAGTCAGGGTGGACTTCTGGGGAATATTAGAGATCATTAAAAAGTATATCCTGCCCTTAAAAGAATACCTGGCCCAGAATGTGTATTCAGGAACTATTTGCTCAATAATTGATAGTATCCGTCAAGGAACTTTGATCCATCAATAGATCGTCTGGATTGACAGCCTCTGTATACTTGGCATAAGGACCTTTAGAGGAAGGTGCAAAGGCTCAATCTGCTGATCTTTTTGTTAAGGTATGTTGATCCCCCTATGAGGCCAGTTTAGTTCCATTGTGAATAATTATTTAAAATAGTAATATTAAATAATCAATATTTAATCATTTCTTTGCCCTTCATATGTTTTATTTTCTGCACTCTGAACTTTGAGGTCCTTGAGGAAAACAATTGCAGTATTAAGACTTTCTGTTTTAGAACCAAGCATATAATAGTGGCTCAAAACTTCTTTCCTTGATGAGTAAATAAATGTTTCTCAAGTGAAAAGTAGAGTTTAGGACACCAGACCCTGATGATGGTATCAACCCCCGTGAGAGTCACTGTCTACTTCTTTATCTCTGGTGCCTGCTTGAAATAGCACAAAATGTTTGATGGACGGAAGAGAGGGAAAGAAATTCAGGGTTTAAGAACACTTTTACATACATTCTCATTTAATCCTAATAGAAAATGTGTAGGTCAGTTGTCTCATTTTATAAGTGAAGAAACAGATTCCAAATGCTTGAGAGGATCCCTGGTCACACAATTATTGAATATTAGCAGCCCTCTCAGAATCCAGGTCTTCTTATGCAGGTCTGGTCCACTCTACCAGCTTGCTTGAGGCCCGCATTTGGAGTCCTCCCTGTCTCACAGCCACCTCCCCCTCCAGTTGCTGCTTGCCAGCCTCCATCCTTCTCGGTTAGTAGCTTCATCAACTACCGACTTATTCAAACTAGAAACCTGTATGTTATCCTTAACTCCTTTTCTCATTTCCACATTCATTCAACCATGGGTTCCAGCTAGTTTGCCTCCTGGACATTTCTGGAACCAGCTTCCCCCTTTTCTCCATTCTTTCAGCCCATTCAATTACCCAGCTAAATCCAGGCTTCTGGGCTCTTCCACAAAGCAGAGTGATCTGTCCAAAATGAGGATCTCACGATATCACGTCTTTGTTCCAAATGTGCTTCTGCTAAGAGCCCTCCACAGCCTGCTCTGCACCCCTGCAGGAACCTCCTGCCGGTTTCTCCCTGGCCTTTGATCATCTCGTCACATAGGCTGGCTTCCATTGTCCCATATCTTGCAGGGTGCAATCACATGTTTCCTCCCCCTCCTCCCATCTCCAGTTCCTTGTTCTGGCTCATTTTAGGAGAATATAGTAGTCACCGAATCAGACTTCAAAGCAGGAGACTTGAAACAAAGCCCTTGCAGCTCCCAGAGGTCAGTGTGGTTCTTCCTTCAGTCCCTTAGCCCAGTGTGTCCTCAGCATGCTCCTGTCTCACCAGCCTCTGGGATCCTGACTGAGGTCAGTGCTGGTTTATAAAGAGGAAAAGAGGCTGGGAGTGGTGGCACATGTCTGTAAAAATACAAAATTAGCCAGGTGTGGTGGCACATGCCTGTCATCCCAACTGTTCGGGAGGCTGAGGCAGGAGAATTGCTTGAACCCGGGAGGCGGACGTTGCAGTGAGCCGAGATGGCGCCCTTGCACTCCAGCCTGGGCAAAAAGAGCGAAATTCTGTCTCAAAAAAAAAAAAAAGAGAGAGAGAGAGAAAGAAGATAGGGAAACTGGATGTGGATGAAAAGCAATTAACAGAAGTAAAAAGCAGACGTAAACAAGTACACAAAACAAATGGATAAACTCAAAGGACTGGCCAAGCTCTATATGGCTGCTTTGGTTGTTGGGGGGAGTGAACCCATAGAAATGGTTTCCTTTTTGGTTACCTTTTCCCTGTCCCTGTGCCTTTTAAGGATCTGCTGTTGATTTCATGCTGCTTTATTAAGTGCCAGTTCATCGTAGCCTTTATCACCTTTGAAAAAGTACCGATTTGGGGCAGGGGATTGGGAGAGGACAGTTGCATCCCACATCCCCTGCTCTACTCTCCTTTTCCCCAAAAACACAGCCCCCTTGAGAGAAGTACTCTCTTAAGTTTCTTGGTTCTCAATGTGACCCCAGACCCTTCCTCCATCCACTGCTGTCCCCAATCCCTCCAACTTGCCTGGGCTGACTAGCATTTGAAGAACCCCTGTTTTAAAACTTCCAGAACTGATGTCTGCCCCACTTCCCCTCTCCTCTCCTCAGGCTTCAGGCCAGATGTTCTGTGCTGGCCAGGATTCCCCAGCACTGGGACAGCCACTGCTCCCAGAACTCTGGGAATTTCCACAGACAACTTAGATTTCTGTGAATCTGGGAACACAGTTAAGCTATTAATGTTTGTGTTTGTCCTTGATTGCACAGACTCAGATACCTAGGAATAATGTTTTTAAACATGTGATATATATGCTAACTCTTTTTAGGAATCTGTTTGCTTTCAGTTTGCTAATACTAGTGTTCCTACCCCCACGCATTTAAATAAATGCAAATTAAATGCAAGTTAATCCCCTTTGCAATAATTGAGTTACTGTTCTTTATTACCAGTGGTGTTGAGCTCTGCATCTGGATACACTACAGTAAGCATATCCTTTTGCTTTTGTTTACATTCTACTAGGACTTAGGAATCCAAATAATTCTGAGATTGACCCAAAAAATAATAATAATTGAATTCTTTTAGAACTAAGTCTTCCAAAAATATTTAGTCGAATACCTCAGTGAAATCTGAGAAATGTTGGTATTCCTAGAGTTTAAAATACGACCTCAAGAAAGATTTCAATAGTGTTCTGGAAAGAGACATTTTTCTTTTCCTTTTTTTTTTGACACGGAGTCTCATTCTCTCACCAGGCTGGAGTGCAGTGGTGTGATCTCGGCTCACTGCAACCTCCCCCTCCCGGGTTCAAATGATTCTCCTGCCTCAGCCTCCCAAGTAGCTGGGAGATGGGAATAGACATGAGCCACCACACCCTGCTAATTTTTTTGTATTTTTAGTAGAGATGGGGTTTCACTATGTTGACCAGGATGGCCTGTATCTCTTGACCTCATGATCTGCCCTCCTCGGCCTCCTGAAGTGCTGGGATTACAGGCATGAGCTACTGTGCCTGGCCAGAAAGAGACATTTTTCATAGTGGGAGAAGGATGGCATGATAAGTTTTCTTGATGACATTTTACTTTAGAAATTACATTCTGGTTTGTGCCCATTATCGCAACATAATCATTAACTGTACCCATTGTACTCTAAAAATGTCCTGGTTTGCATGATATATTATATATTTTCCCTGTCTGTACTTCATGTAAATATTAAACGATTGATCAGGATTTTTCTTCATCTTGCAGATACATGCCACCAAAAAAGATTCGTTTTTTTTTTAAACTCCAATATTATGCAACATTTATATGCCCACAATAATTAAACATTTAAAAATACTTCAGTATGTATGTGGTTTGAGAAAAAATAAATTAATATTTTTCTTACTCATCCTGCTGGAATTTTGCTTGCCACAGGCAGGTTTTGGTTTGTGGCAGTCAGTTAGCTCTTTATCCAGAACCATGAAATTGTCCTGATCACAATTTAAATTTTTAAATTAAATCTGTCAAAACTCTAATGCAAGCTATGTCTTTTTTACTGCCCAGTATTTCTGGGCAGTAATAAACTATAGTTTCTTCCACCACTATACAATTTTTTTTCTTTTTATTCTGTGATTTAGAATATTGAAGCCACTCTTCAGATAACGTTCACATCTCTTCTCCACATTACAAAGTCGATGTTTAAATTTTATCTTTGTGCCTCTGTCTGCAGGTCTTTTGCTTTGCTTTGGTTCTTCCTTGTCAACTTATTATTGAATCTTCACATCTTCAGTTTTTTTTCTTATAGTTAATCATTTCTCATTTCTTTCATCATATTAGTTTTAAGTTTTTCGCATGCTTAAAGTCTCTTCCAGAGATGCTTTGTTTTAGTATTCACAGTAGTACTTTCTCAGCTGCTTTCAATACATCCACAACTTTTCTTACCTTCCTTTAGTTCTAATGTGTTAATAATATATTTTGACACTGCCTTTTAAAAAATGTTTATTGATAGCTTTTACATCCTCAAATTGAATTCTGTTGTCTTTTACTCAATCTCTAGTCAGGTTTCCTTCGCTGTCCTAATCATTCCTTTCATACTATTACCATGTTAGCATATGCACTTTAATTTTCTGCCTTTTTGCTGATTTGAACGCAGGCACAGTGGCTCACACCTGTAATCATAGCACTTTTGGAGGCTGAGGTGGGTGAATTGCCTGAGGTCAGGAGTTTAAGACCAGCCTGGCCAACATCGTGAAACCCCGTCTCTACTAAAAATACAAAAATTAGCTGGGTGCGGTGGTACACACCTATAATCCCAGCTACTTAGGAGGCTGAGGCAGGAGAATCGCTTGAACCTGGGAGGTGGAGATTGCAGTAAGACAAGATCATGCCACTGCACTCCAGCCTGGGCAACAGAACAAAACTCTGTCTCAAAAAAAAAAAAGAAAAAATGAGTGGAATGTTACATTTTCACTTATTTTCTTTGGAGGAGTAGCCATAAGATGACAGCTCAATGACTGACAAATTCTCAGTGTGGTTTTTAATTGGAAATATACCTTACCACTCTTAGACATGACTTTTCAAAGTTACTGTACACAAGTATTTCATGGTTACTGTATGTAAGCATTGAGTCATTATCATTAAAGATGAACATCGAAAATGGAAAATAAGTACATTTCATTGTACATTCTGATTAAGTCTCTGGTGAAGATTGGTAACAGGCATATTAGCCTGTAATTAAAACGATTTTGAGCCTTTAAAACAATATGATCTTTAAATTTGAACCAAATTAGTTTATAAATTCTTGGGCAGAATAAACCTTCCTACAGTAAATTACACATTTGAAAACACATATTCATAGACAATAAATGCCATCAGTAAGCAACTCTATGACTGTTACAAAACCCACAATTGAGTAGAAAAAAATAGTATTCAAGAGAAAAACATGGGTGGAGTAATCAGAAAGTTTGGTAGAAGAAAGAAGGTCAGAGAAGTGACAGGGAGTGGTTAGAAAGGTCCATTAGTGAAAAATGCCATTGTCTACTTGCTGCTTTTCTATTGTGTTATTTTTAAAAATAGATCTTTCCCTTACAATACCCACAACAAAGGGAAAAGAGAATAAAGGTTATTACTAAATATATAGTCCCTTGTTGGCTCAGTCTCCACTCCTGGTATAGCAGATGGCAGTTTATTATTAATGGTAGACATTTGAAGGGGTTGGTTTGTTGAAGTCTAACCTCTAAGTCACTTCCCTAACATGATTTTTATAATATCTTCAAAAGTTTCTGTGGCTTATCTTTTTTTAATCTTGTCTGGAATTGTGACAAATGCCTCAGGGAAGAGGGAAGGTTATAACCTGTCCTCAGAGATTTATAGCATTTCAGGCATCACAAATCCTGTAAGACATTTTTGTTCCTTTTGAGGATAAGACTCTATTAATAATTTTTATGTTATTAACCAAAGTTAACAATATGATTACTAGTTATCAGAACTCCCAATAGAGCATGTTTTGTTTTGTTTTTTCACGAAGATGGGCTTTTGAGCTGCCAAGCTTAAGGGATGATTTTTTTCTAGAATCAGATGCACATCCATGTGGGCTCATCTAACCTTAGTTGTGAATCGTGGTAGCCATACATGAGGTAGGTTTGGGGATACTTGTATCAGCCATGACAAAGAACAAAAGTAAATACCTGCCTAGTCCAGAATAAAATATAGAAATAATAAATGCTAACTTTTAATGGAAAATTGGATCACATATTCTCTCTCTTTCTGTTTCCACCCTGTCTAACAAATAGTCCCAGATAATAGAAATGGTATAAGTTTGAATACTCATGTCAGGGAATGTAAATACCTAAATAATTAATGGAGGCTGGGTGCGGTGGCTCACACCTGTAAACCTGCACTTTGCGAGGCACAAATGGGTGGATCACCTGAGGTCAGGAGTTCGAGACCAGCCTGACCAATATGGTGAAACCCTGTCTCTACTAAAAATACAGCAATTAGGTGGGCATGGTGGGACTACAAGTCCCAGTTACTAGGAGGCTGAGACAGGAGAATCGCTTGAACCCGGGAGGTAGAGGTTGCAGTGAGCCGAGATGGTGCCATTGCACTTCAACCTGGACGACAGAGCAAGACTGTGTCTTAAAAAATAATAATAATAATTAAAGTAGATTTTCCCATTATCTGTGGTATCTAAATATTTAATACTTTAAGTTTGAAGAGCTGGTTCCCGTTTGTTTCTTTTCCAGTATACAGAGAACTTTTGGTTAGCATGTTAATTTTGTGAAATAATGTTTAGGGAACATGATAGGATTGTTTCATTTGCCTATAATTTCTGTATCATATAAAACACCCTTGAGCACAGGCTCCGAACTTCACTCCTGGATTGTAAGATTCCTCATTGTGAGAACTTGATGAAGACACGTTTAATCAATCAAATCAGGTAGAATCAAGACCAGAGCCAAGGAATAGGTCAGATACCTGTATTTAAAGTAAGAGAGACTAAACCAGGTGCAGTGGCTCACACCTGTAATCCCAACGCTTTGGGAGGATAAGGCAGACAATTTGCTTGAGCCTAGGAGTTCCAGATCAGCCTGGGCAATATAGTGAGGCACCTATCTCTACCAAACATATATATATATATATATATATATATTTGCTTGTTTTTAATTTACTGGGGATGGTGGCACGTGCCTGTAGTACCAGGTACTTGGGAGGCTGAGGTGGGAGGATCACTTGAGCCCAGGAGTTTGAGGGTACAGTGAGCTATGATTGCATCACTGCACTCTAGCCTGGGCAACAGAGCAAGACCCTGTCTCTGAAAAAAAAATTTTTTTTAATTAAAAAAAGAAACTAGGATATTTCCCTTAGCATGGCAAGTTTTGAGTGGGCTTTACTTTGGTACATGTTAATTAGGAAGGTGGAGTTAAGCATCTTGACGTCAAAGTAGCTCTTCTGCATTCAAGGTCTCTCAGAGTTCAAATGACTTATACAGGTTAATGTTGTTTTCGAAAAGCCACCAGGAAACAGTTTGAAATGAGATATGATGGTAGGGGCAGGAAGAAAAAGCGATTTCTGTGTAAAAATTCTGATGCATGCCTAGCCCTTCACAGAGGTCTGAGTTTACTGTCCTTTGATTTTCTTTTTGGAAGTAGAAGTGCTCCTTTTTTAAACTCCTCGGTAAATACAACCTCCTAATTTTCTACAGAAATCTACACTCCATATTGCAGCCTAAAAGCTAGGACTTGTAAATGAAAAATTTATACAATCATGAAATTTGGTTCACCTGCTTAAATACCAGCTGTTCTTTTTTTTTAATCTCCTGCCGGTTTACGATTTGATTGACTGCGGAAAATTAACTAATTCCGTATACTTGCTCTTTGAACAGTGTCATTTACTTTCTGATTGTAGTGCCCCTTGGCTGAGGTTTATACACTGTCAACCATAATTTTCAGCTCTAGCTCCTCTGCAAAAAAAAATGAAGTTCTTTGAAATAAAGTAAGGTCACTAAAGCCAAGAAATAGCACTTTATTACTTTCTCTAGAAGACTTTTAAAAGAAAGTGTTGCTTTGTAGTTTAGTAGCTCAAAGATAGTGAGCTTGTGGTCCAGCACCCACTCACAGCTGGCATCCACTGGCCCCGGGTAACGCCGGCCGGGGGACCCAGGCAAGCAGGGTCCTGTTGGAGACCTTCACTGCATTTTCCACAGCAGCATCGGAATTTTCCTAAGGCAGTTTCACATCTGGAATTTTAAAGAAAGTTTGCCCTTCCATAAAATGGTAGTAAATCTTAGGAAACATTATGCCTTTTTTGTTGTTGTTTTAATTAACCTGGCATTTCTCTACCAAACCATTAACAAATGATTGGTTGTTCCCTCCCTTTTTCACTATTCATGGTAATAATGGACAAAGAGAAGGATTATTAAATGCATTTGTATGTGTTACTTTTGAATTAAGGTGGCATAAATATTTCACAGAACATCTTTTACATTTCTTACATGAGAATATGTATGCATGGATCTAAGGTTTAAGTATTACATTTTGTGTATGTAAAATAGCACCAATGTGTTATGAAGGTGTATGGTTTGAGTGGTTAAACAATATTGAAACACGTTTCTTGTAGGTGGCTTGTGTGTAGACATGCCTTTATCCAGTTTTAAAGACAACTGGATAAAGACTATCTTACTTGGAAGCCTGATTTGGAGTCTGTCATCACTCCTATGTGCCAATTACTAAGCATGTGACGTGTCTCTCTAAAAGCCAATGTTAATGACTCTAGCTTGCTGTTAGAATAGTCTAATCAAATTCCGAAAGCGACAGTCTCTTATTTTAAAATGTCAACCTGTTCACTTTTTGATTGAAAAGATTGTGATGATTCTGGAATGAGTAGCTTAGTGTGTGTTTGAGGAATCTTTTATATAGAGAGAGTGAAAAGCTCTGCATGGTTACATAAAACAGTCATGAAACCTAAAATTTTGATTTGCCAGTTTTATAAAAACAAGATAACTCCCACCGAAACCTCAGAATTGTAATCACTCAAGTGTTCCATGCATTGTGCATGATGGATAACATAGGGATAGACCCTGGCCTTCTAACTCCTGAAGCAACTTTTAAATGGACGAACATAGATGTCTTTAAAAAATAGAGCGTTTTCAGAAAGGAAGAGAGGAGTTCTGTTTCCTATTTTAATTTTTTATTCCCCCTCACCCAAATTTTAAGGGAAGCATATGTTGGGAGGGAGGGTGCAAACTAGTGATTAATTGCTGCACTTGTACCCAGAGTGAGCTACTTGAGCTTGCAAGTTATTTAGAATTTGAAATGCACTTTCCCAAACAATGTGATCAGATAGAGTTAGCTTGCTTCCTTCATTTGGCCCTTCTTTCATCTATTTAACAGACACTTACTGAGTTACTCCTCAGTCCAGGCTCTGTCCCCAGGCCAGTCCACAAAAGCTTAAAGGATAATGCATATGTATCGAATAAACTATATTTTAAAAGCCAGGCCGGGTGCGGTGGCTCAAGCCTGTAATCCCAGCACTTTGGGAGGCCGAGGAGGGTGGATTATGAGGTTAAGAGACCGAGACCATCCTGGTCAATATGGTGAATCCCCATCTCTACTAAAAATACAAAAAGTTAGCTGGGCATGGTGGTGCATGCCTGTAGTCCCAGCTACTCAGGAGGCTGAGGCAGGAGAATTGCCTGAACCCAGGAGGCGGAGGTTGCGGTGAGCTGAGATCGCACCATTGCACTCCAGCCTGGGTAACAAGAGCAAAACTCTGTCTCAGGAAAAAAAAAAAAAAAAGCCTTCAACCACCGTTTTAGCTAGGTGCATATCTTCCTATCACTGAGTAGCACTTACCAGGCACACTCTGGTAAAAGTAAAGGCCTTGAGCCAGGCAAGGTGGTAGTCCCAGCCACTGGAGAGGCTGGGGCAGGAGGATCACTTGAGCTCAGGAGTTCCAGACGAGGGCAAGATGGTGAGAGAACCTGTCTCTTAAAAAAATATGATTTTTTTTTAAAAAAGAATTAAAGGTTAATTCCTTGGTCTCTGTCCTAAACTAAAGCATAAACCCTCTGAAGGCAGGGCAGTGTCTCATTCTAGTCTGGGTGCCTGGCACATTGTATGTGCTCAGATTGTTGAGCAAAGCACAAAACTATTTGTGAAGAACATTCAAACTTGAAAAACCTGTATCTTTGCATTACCATTTTAATCCTTGTTTGCACCCCACCATGCATGTACATATATTGGAAAGTTAAGAAATCAGGTATTGACTATATAAACGTCTTGACTAACCATAAACTTGACTATGTAAACTTCTTGACTAATTATAAAACTCATTTGTTCAGTCACTTAATAAAGATTCATTAAAGGCCTACTTCGTACTGGATCCTGTTTCTGAATAAAGATCTAGATCCAGGAGCACAGGCCTGGAACCTGAGAGCCTGTGTTTGACCCCTGGCCATGACACTTAGATACCAGCTGCATGATCTCCAGCAAAATCAGTGAAGCTCCTCTGTAAAGTAAGGATACTAATCCCTCCCTTACAGGGTGGTCATGAGGAGGAAATGAATTATATAAAATACTTAGGCCCTGTATAGATATTATTGTGGTGGTGGTTGTTATTAGAAAGAGCAAAGATGATCGTGTCTTGTGATGGAATAGGGCAGAGGGGAGGAGCCAGGTCTTCCAGGGTCTTGCTGGCCTCACAGACTTTTGGGGCTTTATCCTTGGGACTGGGAAACATTGAAACCCTTTATGCAGGGAGAGGGCTCTAATGAAGTCTGTAGCTTTTTGCCTTTCTCAAACCAGAGAGGCTCATTCACTGAATTCAACAACCAATTGCTTAAGGCAACCTAGTAAGTGGCCACTTGCACATAATCAATAGGGCTTTATGCCTGAATTACAAAAAATAATATGGATTGTATTTAGCAGCTGAGTGAGGTGGTAAATGTTTGCTTACCTTCAAAGTGGAATTAAGAGATACATAATATTACAGACCTAACCTCAGGCTATTTGTAAAGAAAATCAAATTTGGTGATTAAATAGTGAAAGGCATAATTCTTTTTACTCTCTGGGCCCTTAGAATAATAGAAGGTTTATATGCATTGGGGTTAGGAGTGAGGTTCTTACTAATGCTGAACAACCAAGTGGTATATAAAGAAAATGCTATGCAGAAATAATGGCCATCCTAGAAGGATTCTAAGGGGATGCTTTTTTTAAAGCTATTTTTTACTATAACTTTTATTTTTTAATTGTTAAAATATTTAGAATGTATTATACCTTACAAATACCCATTTGTTATATCTCAAAATTTTGTGTTAAGCTATAAAAAGCCATAATGAGAACATTTTCAGCTCTGAGCTCTGTGTCATTTGAAACTCAACAAAACATTGAAATAATGATCTTTGTGTTCCCTTAAAAGAAAAAGCTAATTACTGGCATGTAATACTTAGGTAAATATATGTTGTTAAAGGTTTTAAATTGTAAAGGTGGGAATAAGAAAAGCAATGAAAAGAAGCATTGCTAAACTGATTTTATACTCTCACATAAAGATTATTGTTTTTCACATATATAATCACAATTATATATTTTTTTAATATAGTTGGGCTATGTCTATTCCATTTTCCTCTAAGTTCTAACAGAAATTATGTGGGGTTTCTTGGTGCGTGTTTTGTATTTGAGACAGACATCGTTCTTGTCACCTAGGCTGGAGTACAGTGGCGCGATCTCGGCTCACTGCAACCTCCTCCTCCCAGGATCAAATGATCCTCCTGCCTCAGCCTCCCAAGTAACTAGGATCACAGGCACAGGCCACCATGCCAGGCTAATTTTTTGTATTTTTAGTAGCGACGGGGTTTCACCGTGTTGGCCAGACTGGTCTCAAGCTTCTGATCTCAGGTAATCCACCCTCCTCAGCCTCCCAAAATGCTGGAATAACAGGCGTGAGCCACCATGCCTGGCCTGAGAATTTATGTATTTTAAAGGAGTTTGAATAATTTTTTTGACAGCTACCCACCCAAAGCAACACTTAAATGAACCATCCCATCTAAGTGTCCATACTGCACTACCTAGGAAGGTATTCATGTAAGAAAAAAAATAGGCCGGGCGCGGTGGCTCAAGCCTGTAATCCCAGCACTTTGGGAGGCCGAAACGGGTGGATCACGAGGTCAAGAGATCCAGACCATTCTGGTCAACATGGTGAAACCCCGTCTCGACTAAAAACACAAAAAATTATCTGGGCATGGTGGCGCGTGCCTGTAATTCCAGCTACTCAGGAGGCTGAGGCAGGAAAATTGCCTGAACCCAGGGGGCGGAGGTTGCGGTGAGCCGAGATCGCGCCATTGCCCTCCAGCCTGGGTAACGAGCGAAACTCCGTCTCGAAAAGAAAAAGAAAAAAAATAAGTTCTAGTCCATTTTGTTTTATTTAAACTAGAGGAATTTTCATCTTACTGCCCAGTACCTTAGGGAAAGAGCTGGTGAAGGGAACGTGAGCCTAGGTTTTAGTGGGAAAGTTCTGTGTTTTATAGACTTCACCACCAAGAGAACTGGGCTTTGTTGGCATTAGCAAATTCACTCTCTTTATACTCTGAGTTTGGTTAAAAGTCATTTTTTAAACTTGAAACTTTTTTTTTTCTAGCAAGAATTTGCCTCACCTCTTCTGATGCTTTTCTTCCTCATAGGTTTTTAGTTCCCCTTTGAGTAACTTGTAAACTGCTAACAAGTCTAAAAGAAAAATACAGAACTCACCTCCCACCTTTGGAAGACATCAGTGTCTATTCTGTCTCCTTTTTAAAAGATAATTAGGGATCAATGGCCATTGTTTTCCTGGAAATCGAATCTTTCTCCAGCCACCGTTCTGGTCATTTATACAGGGCTTTACTGAATTCTAAACGTTTTCAGTGTGAAATTATGGATTATTTTACTTTTCTTGTTTTAGTCATTTGTGTTTTCTAATTCCTTTACAAGACGAATGAGGAGCACTATGTAATGAGCATTTAACATATGCAAGACTTTACATGCAATATTTATCTTAATCTTCACAACCATAAGCAAAATGAATTGTTTTAATACCCTGAATAGTATCAGCTCATATAAGGTCACCACAGCTTGATGAGTGTTTTGATCCTCAGTTTTGTTTTGTTGCTTTCTTTTTTTTTTTTGTCTTTTTTTTGTTGTTGTTATTTTGAGATGGAATCTTGCTCTTGTCACCCAGGCTAGAGTGCAATGGCACAATCCCTGCCCCTACAACCTCTGTCACCCAGGTTCAGGCAATTCTCCTGCCTCAGCCTCCCTAGTAACTGGGATTACAGGTGCCTGCCACCAAGCCTGGCTAATTTTTACATCTTTTAGTAGAGATGGGATTTTGCCATGTTTGCCAGGCTGGTCTCAAACTCCTGACCTCAGGTGATCTGCCCGCCTCAGCCTCCCAAAGTGCTGAGATTATAGGTATGGGCCACTGTGCCCTGCCTTTGTCTCCAGATTTTAAAGGAGATAAGTAAGCCAGATGTTCAGTGGTTTGCTGCTGGTCACCTGGCGTAAGCAGCAGAACCAGACTTGAACCCCAGCAGTGCAACTCTACAAGCCATTGTCTTAACTGCTGTGCTAGGGTACCACTCCCTCCATCACATTCAGAGTGCCTGCTATTACCTGTATTTTACAGACGATGAAACGAGCTTAGAGAGGTTAAGTAACTTGCCCAAGGTGACATATCTTAGGCAATGATAGAACTGGAGGTCACTCAGACCCAACCCCCCCCTGCTTATTCTAGAGCCAATCTTCCTTCAGTAACAAAACACAATGGCTTATTGTTTGAAGAAAAGAAAATTAAGCACCTGGGGATGGCATATTCGTATTCATATTCTAAGATGGTGTCCCCAGCCTCAGACCAAAGATCAATACCAGTCCTTGGCCTGTTAGGAATCGGGCCACACAGAGCAACAAGGCCTGAGCTCTGCCTCCTGTCAGATCAGCATCAGCATTAGATTCTCAGAGGAGCTCAAACTCTATTGTGAACCACACATGAGAGGGACCTAACCTCTCTAGATTACACACTTCTTATGAGGATCTAATGCCTGAAGAAAACATCCACTCCCACTCCACCCCGTCAGGGTGAAAATTGTCTTCCATGAAACAAGTCCCTGGTGCCAAAAAGGTTGGGAACCCCCATTCTAAGAGACCACTTCCCTATTTGCCAGAAATGTGATTGTGTTTACTCCAATTTAAAAAAGAGTCTTTATGTACATTCCTAACACAAGTTCTGCTTGCTCCTCCTACTCACAGTGGTCTATGCTCAACTCTTAACTTCCTCTCTCTTTACGTCTCCAAAGAAGAGAGGAGATGCCTTCCTCTTGACGGTGGGACCCCCACTGGTGATTCCTGAGACTTTATTGCTAATTCTGACTTTGGCCGTAATGACAGTCAGAATAAACAAGCAAATACAACCACCTTTGTGTAGCACTTGCTCTGTTCCAGGCTCTGGACTAACTGCTCTTCATACATTATCTTATTTAGTTTTCTGTTATTAATATTTCCTCCATTTTACAGAAATAGAAAATAAGATAGAGTGACATTAAAGTAACTTTTTTGGCCTGGCACAGTAGCTCATACCTGTAATCGCAGCACTCTGGGAGTCCAAAGTGGGAGGATTGCTTGAGCCCAGGAGTTCAAGACCAGCCTAGGCAACATGGCAAAACCCTGCCTCTACTAAAAAATACAAAAATTAGCCAGGCGTGGTGGTATGCACCTGTGGTCCCAGCTACTTGGAGGCTAAGGTGGGAGGATCACTTAAGCCCAGGAGGCAGAGGTTGTAGTGAGCCGAGATTGTGTCACTGCACT